TAAGGTCTCCCCTCAGCCTCCTCTCTCCAGACTAAACAATCCCAGTTCCCTCAGCTGCTCCTCATAAGGCCTGTGCTCTAGACCCTTCACCAGCTTCGTTGCCCTCCTCTGTACACACTCCAGCACCTCAATGTCCTTCTTGTACTGAGAGGCCCAAAACTGGACACAGTATTCCAGGTGCAGCCTCACCTGTGCCAAGTACAGCAACTTGATTCACTTCGGAGCATGCTCTGCCCTCACTTACATTGGCATCGATGGAATTGCACTGGAAAGGAAAAGTATAGGGGTAGATCTCATAGAAAATTCAGGTCTCAAAAAACTCAGCCCTGCAAGAAGACCTGTGCATCTTGGCATGGGTTTCTGCACTGTAAAAATGAACTGGTAGGAAATGTAAAAATAAGGCCACCTAATAAGCTAGTAGCAGTCAGTGTATTTCCCAGGAAAGCACAAGACCCAAATGCAAGCCTATCCTCAAGCAGGGGGTTGTAACCTACATGCTTCTCAAAAGAGTGCCCTGACCACCCACCAGTAGGTTGGGGTGTAACAAGTATGCAAAAAGGAACAGGAATGGATGGGACGGGACACTAACATTACGGGGAGCTTTATCCTGTACTTTTGGAGAAGGACAGGCCTGCATTGCCAGACCTTACCCCATGGCTCTCCAGGGCAAAATGAATGAGCAGTCCTCATTCATTTTGGGCTGTGCTCCTTCTGCACACAAACCCGCCCCCCCCTCCCCGCACTTCCTCCCATTGACACCAGAAGGCAGTTCTGCTGTATGCTGCAAGGCACTGCAAAGGACAGTGTCACTTCCCAGCTAATTAGTATTTGTGGCCACAAACTCCTCTACTCAACTCTCTTAGAGCTCACTTTCCTGCCGGGAATATAAAACACTGCCTTAGCGACACACACCTGCATGGAAATGCATACACATGAACTCCCAATTAAGGGATAACTGCTGCAAAACATAAGGGGCTCTCATGAAACAAAGCAAACAGCGGTCGTATTAATAATCAATTAGATGGAGCAGCCACCTGATGCTGCCTATTTGGAGAAGTCCCCAGCTTCCACCAGCTTTTGCCTGTGCAAAAGCAGCTGAATAAAGCCTGTGTCACAGTCATCTTGACTCAGCAAAACACCCTCTTCTGCCTCTTGATTCAGGGATGATTTTCCCCTTGCTCTAGTTCTTAATTAAAGCCATGAATGTGGATAAATATCACGTCCAGTTTTAAACCCAACTGGGTCACCAAACGGTATGTTACACCCTGTTCTGCAATTAAACTACTCTGTGAAACACCTCAATTATAATTAAAAAAGCAATTATCCCCCCGTTAAAGGTGCTGCAAATCATACATTTCAACGCAAAAGTTCGTCTGGCAGCTTATGGCATATTAACCAATCTTACATCTCATTGATGTTTTGATCTATAACCTATTGCAATGAGCTAATTTGATGTGACTCGGTGTCTCCAATGAAATTTTATCATGTGCAATATGATGCTGGCATCTTTCAAAGAACAAATTAAATGAGCTAAGGGGTTAATTGCTAATAACTCTGCCATTACTGTTGGAGCGTCGCAGAATGGGATCCTTCCTGCCTTCTCAGGTTAGGTTTGAAAAAATGCATACACAGAAGAGGGCGGAATTGAAACGGGTGTTTCTGTCGACACTGGGGAGCTGCAAATGTCTGAGTTCTGCTGAGCACCAGCAGCTCCCGCCCAGTCTGGCATGTCTGCTTATCTCACCACCTTACCCTATTTCTCCCCATTGTGGAAAAGCAGAAGGTAGGGAAGCATGGAGTTAGGGCAGGGTGTTGTTTGTTTTTATGTCCATTCCTTCCTTTTTTTTCACCGCAGGAGTATGTGAGTCTGCCCCTTCACCCCTCAGCTATGTGTGGAAACCTCAGCGTAACAGCACCTGCGCTGGTCCTTCTGCTGCTTGCCTGGGCCACACATTGCAAAAGACAAAACATTCACCCGGGTGTTTCAGAACCTGTAGGTAGGTTCAGCTTGATATTGGCTATAAAACTGGGAGTGGGGAGACATGCCGCTGTGCAGCTGGCACTGATGTTGGGTGGGGCTGGTGGGCAGGGGTATATGGCCGCAGAGAAGCTGATCTGGTTTGCCCCAGAGACCAGGCAAACCCTCGGTTCCTCACTTTGTCCCAAGTGAACAAGCAAGATGTACTTTGATTTGACCTCAGGCCATGAGGCTGGTGTATTTTAACACACCTTCTATTTGGATCTAGGGCTTTTTTTTTTGTAGTGGCCGTGATCTGAGTCTACTCTAATGCTCATCATGTTCTGGTGGATCTGAGGGAGTGGTAAGTGCTGCCTTAAAAGCTTTGCCTGCCCATCTCTGTCTTTGTCCTTCTTGCCCTCTGGAGCAGCTGTATGCTGCTGTGTCGTTCAGCTTTTCAGTAATAATAAGATCTGCTCTAGCATTGATCCATGAGAGCTTGACACAGTTAATTGCAGTTAAATATGCTGGGAATTATAAGACTAAATTCCCTAGCTATTGAAAAGAGGACAGAATGTATCCCTTAGCGTAGTTGTTCCCACCACTTTGAAATACCAGGAAAAAGCCAAAATGAAGGGGGAGAATAAAATTAAAGAGAAAAAGCAAGGGGAAGGTGGTGGGACTCTGGCCTCCAGCATTACATTACACTGAATGTGTATTTTGTACAGTTTCACAGCGTAGGCTTTTCTTCCTCTGTCTTGGTGTTAAATCCAGTGACTACTTCAGAAGTCAGGAAGTGGGAAAAAACCAAAACAAAACACCGTGCCCAGAGTGGGAAGAGTCTGAGGTATATGTTCATCAAAGCATTTGGAAATGCTGCTCATGGCTGCAGCATATGCATTACCCTACTCAGAATCAAAGCAGCCTTTCAACAAGATGGAAAAATAGCCTCCGCCTGCTGCCTGCCTTCTCCCAAGTCCTTTCTTACTTAGTTACCTGTACTATCATATCAGAAACTTCTCTGAACAAATAAACGAAGCTTAAACAAGGAACTCATTCATCCCTAAACTAAAATAATCATGTAATCCTTCAACCCACCAAGTTACGTTTCATCTTTCCATTTTTTTAAATTTATCTTACCAGCTTCAGCAAGTGGCTGTAATAAAGTGTCACATTAAGGTATTCATATTCATCAGTGTTCAGGTCTTTGTTCTTTTAATAGTGTTGGAAAGAATCTACAAAGAGGCTGTATTAGGCAGCTGTCCAATCTGGGTGTTTGATCTCCTTCTGACTTCAAAAGTCAGAAGAGGAAAAAACCCAACATTGAGAGCGGTTCTTTTGAATGTCAGATGGGGAGTATACAATTTCCGAGCCTGCCAAGTGTTAATTGGTGTCTGCCCCGACCATGGTACAAATAAGATTCAGAGCCAGTTAATGTACAGTCATGAATCTCGGCTATTGACAGAGTGAGCCAGGATACTAGAAGGTAGGAAAAAGTGCAATTATTATGAGAGCAGCTCACAGAGGATCTTTTCAGAGATCACTTCCACGCGCCATGTTAAATCACGCTGTTTGGGTCCCAGCTGCCCAACTGGGCATTACAGACCTTTCTGAAGGAATAACTGGACTGGCTGCTGAAATTTCAGAGGTGCTTGTACCACTGTATTCAAACAAACTACCCATCATCATCAATCTCTGTTTCTAGCAAAGGTAATGAAGTTCCCCAGTACCACCCTGCACCACCTGAACAACATATCCCGTTGCAAATACTCCTGTCGTGGCACAATGGCAAGTTCATCTGATGCAAAGAAGCATCAGAAAGGACAATGAAAAATTGCTGCTAAGTTCCTGAGGAAAGCGAACTGATTAATATTACAGTTGTCAGTAAGCTGGCTTGGCAGACTTAAATGCTCTTTACAGTTTTGGGGATTTTAATGGAGAAAGAAAACAGCCAATGAAAAAAGAAAATGGGAAAAATCTTCTATGCTAATTATTCCGTCTGATGATTGTGGACACGTTTCTGCAATTTCGATTAAATCTAAACTTGGGTTAGATGGGGAGGTAACACTTTAAGCTTCATCTCCTGAGAAATCAGTCATCAGTGCTGAGTGACAACCACTTTGCTACTTAGCCATGACAGTCTAACTTATCCTAATGCAAATTGGCAACAGTTTCTTCTGTGCATGGCAGAGGAAAACTGAGGAGAATTCAGATAGGGGAATTACCGTCATTAACAATCAATTTTTCCCTTAACAGCCGCAGCGGATTTAGGATTTCAGAGGCCCCCCTGTGACTCAGAGACCCCCCTCCCGTGAGCAATGAGGATGAAGCTGGAACCACCACTGCACTTAGGCAAGCTCCTGTTCACAGGGACACCCACTGCTGTCAGTGGGCACAGATTTTGCTGAAGGGTAGGCTCGTTCCTGCCAGGTGGAGGGCAGGCTACCTGCTCTGGGTTTACTTAAATGCCAGTAGGAAAACCAGATAAGCCCCTGAAGATGGATTATTAGGCAGATACATCCCCCTACTTGCCCCCACCTTGCTGCTTCACCTGGGATCCCATATTGGACCGTGGAACATCCTCGTGTGCTGAGCTGGTGGGCTGGTGCACACACGAGCATGTGCACAAACTTGTGAGGGAAATATAATCTGGCAAACTAAAACTTAAAACGTCTTTCTACTATGCTTGAAATGTACCTTTCAGAATAAGTGAAATGTTTTTTTCTTTACAAGGAAAAGGAAAGATAGTAGGCTGGTATTAATATGCTCCACTAGCTATGCGTCCCTTGGATGCCAGATACAACAGTGATTTTTAAAAGGGAAGAAAAAAACTGAAACCAAACCGCCTGCAGCTCTGCCCAGCAAGGCACCATAATCCAAAGCCGTTAGTCAGTTCCCAATCAATCTTGTCTACGAGCAATAGTCAGTCAGCTCTCCATTACCACCCATTCATCATGCCATGTCCTAACTCACTGCACCATTAGCCACCGATCAGGCTTTAGTTAGGACGTCCAAGTGCCAGGACACTGCTGTTGCTGCTCACCTCAGCTACTGGGATGCCTTCGGGGGGACGGCACTGGAGCAGAACCTCTTGCTCCATGGACACTTCTTTCGCTAAGGGCTCCTGCTCGAAAGTTTTCCGGAGATCTGGGGAGGGAGAAGGAGAAGAAAAAGAATTAGTAGTATTAATAGCTGGTCATTTAAGTTACACGATTGCCATACTGGATAAATGCGAGAGATCTTTCTAAACAGAGAAAATAGCATTTCTGCTCCCTGGAAAGTGAAGCACTTAAAAAAAAAAGACTGGGATGTGTTTTCAGTTCATTCCAACATTAAGTGGTCAAAGGTTTCATAGTGGATTTATTATTTATATTGTGGTAGAGCATGTGAACCCAGCAAGGATCCAAGGCCTCACTGTGGAAGGTCATGTCCAGACACAGAACAAAAAGCAAAACAACTCCCTTCTTACAATTCACGTTTGGTAAACTATGCCAGTGAAGTACTAAAGAAAGTTGTGGAAAATTAAATAAATCTGTAGAACTACAGCGCATAAGATGAGCTGCCTTAAACTCATGGATGAAAGTGCTCGTGCTGCAATTTAATGTACTTTTAGTTTGTAAGTTTTAACTTCACAGCTTTAGCTAATTTGTCTTCACCTTATCATTATGCCTGTAGCACTAAATAGAAAAAAAAAATAGCAATAATAAGAATAATAATTGTAATGTGGAGCTGAACTGTGCTTGGATCCCTGCACAGCACCATAGAAATGTGGCAGGCAGAGAGGGCATCAAATGAGCCTCCAAATGTCGGACCAGTTCATCATACTGGACAGCTGTGCACTTTGGCTTTTTTGCATGCTTCTGTAATATCTTTGCATTGGTGGTAAAATGGACTTGAGAAGTTCCCTCCTTACTGCTAGCTCCATATTTCTGCCACGGACTGACTCCCTCTCCGCTGTGCCAGGGAGGATGGGGTTTTGGAAAACTGAGCATTCAGGCCCAGTAGCGACTGGGGATATTTCTCCCTGCTGCTGGTTCCTGCTACAAATGGACACGGGGCCATGTTCAAAGTCACATCAGAGAGCTGGCCTGACTTTAAAAAAAACCTTGCAAAAAAGTGATTTTTATTTTACTTTTTGTTATGAAGTCAGACCAGTTCCCTATGCTAGCTCATGGTGAGGTTGCACAAATACTTGTGTTTTAAAAAAAACCTTGCAAAAAAGTGATTTTTATTTTACTTTTTGTTATGAAGTCAGACCAGTTCCCTATGCTAGCTCATGGCGAGGTTGCACAAATACTTGTGTCATATTGGAAACAAGTCATATGGGAAAAATTTAAAAGCCAAGTATTTCATATTTTGAAGCCAAAACCTGCGGCTGTGCTAGAAAACAGATCACTGAATTGAACCAGTTTACAAATAAACCATCCAAAGGGTTATTTTTCATCTAGATTACCTCCAAGGTCTGATTTACAGCTGACCCCACAAGGAACTGCATCAGCACTACCAAAAGGCAAAACCTGGGGCAGGCGAATGCACAGATGGAAAAGGAGATGGGGCATCTGCCACCAAAATCAGCTCCTCTGAAACTCGCTTTCAAATAGCACGAGACCTCTGTCTCTTAGCCTATATCAGGAAAATGTGGTTGTTTAAATACTTGGAATTAGATGTCAACCTAATTGTACCACGGAAAAGCTCTGTCATAGCTGGAGATGCTGATTTTAACTTAAGCTGATAATGTGGTAAGCTTCTAACGTCCTTAAACCCATGCATTTCTCTAGTGAAACTGAGGCATCTCTGTTCTTCACCAACCCCAAATCCCACTCCCTCCCCACCACTGGCATTACTGTCCCTCCGGCACACAGGGGAGGGATGCTGAGACCCCCTCTGATGGGACACAATTTATGGCCACAGTTTAGAGCACAGAAAGATAAGCTTTGGCAGATCTTACTGTGACAATGTAAGAAATTACTGCCTCCAGCTGTCTGCTTGTTTGGGGGTTACCCTCTGTCAAAAGGAAGCACATGCCAATGTCACAGCTACCTCTACAAAATCCACCATTTTGACCTCAGTTGTTGACGTAGGGGGCTTTAACATACAACACTGGATAACTTATGGCAAAGAGGAGGAGCAAACATCTGGAAGTGATCATTTCTTAGGATGACATGCCAAGCTTCACCAGACTGTGCCTGTCAGCATCCTTGTCACACTGGAGTTATTCCAGGCCAGCAAGGCTCGTTCATGTGAGAGTGACCATGGCAAGACAACCAGCCAGATTAGGTCAGTCTCCGATGCCCGTACATAGCTCCCACCACGTTACCAGCTCCAGCATCACCAGCCCACCAGCTTTATCCCACCCTCTCTGACAGGCTAACCAGGGGACATCTGGCTTGTACGGCTCAATTTGAGTAACACCAAAACCCTCCAGGTGCCCTGTGGGTGGAAGTTGTTCCAAATGCTGAGTTTTGGCTTGCTGTACTTCTGCATGTTGAACATAGAGATGAGCAGCTCTTTCAAGAGCTGGTGGGTTTCTCAGGACACCTCACCCTTCCTTTAGCCCAGGCTCCTCACACATCCTGTGGGCTTGATACGTATCCTGGGTACACATAACACCAGGTTAATGCATTTTTCTTTAGATTAGCAAATCACCCAGGTTATATTGCTAGCAGTACCCATATGATGATATTATTGCTAGTTCCACAGGTATTTCCAAAGGAAAAGAGTTACCTCCCCATTGGGTACAACTTAGTGCATCTAACAGGTATACATACGTGCACAGTGCAGACAATTATAACAGATGTATCGTGCTCTAATATCATGGCTGAGGATAAATGAGAAAGTTACTGTGCTGGTAATAGAAGCATATAAGCACAGTAATAAATAGTACATTAATAATAGCTTTCAGGTGTTCAGATATGGAGGGATGAAGACAGTAAAGGCAGATTAGATAGATAATAACCTGAGTTTTTCCCTGACATGTTGATTTACTGTCCTGCCTACCTTCCTGAAACATTAATAGAGCTCTGAAGTTCTCCGTTAATAATCACCTCTCTCATAAAGTGTTTGCCTTTAAAAACCCCCAAATTTTAGTGCATACAAAAGTAAATAGCATTAGTCTAGAAATGTGTAATACCAGTAAAAAATCCCACTTTAACCTCTTTATTATCAACAGGTGGAATTGCTGGGTATGAACAGCCCCTTTTCCCTGGGAACCGTTGCAGCGGGGCCCTCGCGGGTGAGACAAACCCTGCGCGACACCGGCTCCCCCCGCTCTTGGAGCCTTGCTGCGTGCAGATGCTTTAACGACGCCGTTGGATTCAAGCAGGTCAATGATCCACAAACTAAAAATACACTAAGTAGGGACCTTGACATAACAGAGAGTAATGTTCTCAAAGGAGCCATTAAATACTATTGAATAAATGATACTAATTTGGGGGCGGAGGGGGGAGGAAGTACATAATTGTGTATTTACAAGATTGGGAGCTCTTATACCTTACTCTTTTGGCTCCCTCCCATGTGTTCCCAGCTTTATCCCACCAGAACTACCCACCACCTCCCGCTGCAGCCATGCCACCTACAAATAGCTACAGATGGCAGCTGTGCAGGGCAGGTTTTACCTAACCAAGCATAAAGTTTGCTGGTTGTAATAGACAAACAAGTTAACAAGGTGTTTTCTTAAGTGGTGAAGAAGCGGAGAGCCTGGACAAACAACTTCGTCACCTGCTCTAACTATCATGAAACACCCTGCTGGGACGGCACTGGGTTTTGAAATGACTGGTTTTTTTCTATGGCTCTTGCTATGATTTCTGTGGATAACAACAACATCCTCCTAATTCTTCAATCTTCAGCTTTCTTTGCCATTTAACAATTATAGTCATCATGGCAACTTCACACCGGGAGTGGGTGAGTACTGAGGGGCTTTGGATCTTTTCCAAGCAGAGTATTTTCAGTAACATTTTTCACTCTTTCACAGTGTCAGGTAAGTTACAATCGCTTGCAAGCAAGGACAGAAGGGATAAATTTTCCCAGATAATGGCAAAAGACAAATAAAATACATCCCATTTAAAAAAAAAAAAAAAAAGTTTTAACAATCTTCAGAAAATATGCCTGAAAAAGCAAAACAATAAAACATTTGATCAATTCTGGGTCAGGACCTCTTTGTCTGTGAAGAGGCAGTGTGAATTATTAAAGCCTTGGGTTGGCAGCAGCCCTGTTAATATGACGCTGAGAGCGAGCCTTCTCTACCCTCACCTTCAACAGGGAGAGACACAAGAGAAAGGCAGTTGCACTTTCTTTCCATTATTATTATTTTGGTAATGTAGAATAATCCCTGACTGTCTGTGTTAGCAATACTCTTCCTCCCTTTATACAGGCAATATTGCTGCCGCAGCTCATGTCCTCTGGAGCGGAGCAAGCCCTGGTGGACAGCAATGCTGAAGGGTCCATCTTGTTTTCCACACCAGCTCTCTCACCTATTTCACCCAGCTGCAGGTGGGGATGTCACCGCCAGGCTCAGTGGACAGCCTGCACCCCCATCGGACATTTTCCCCTGCCTCTAACTTCTCTTCAAGGCTGTCTTCATAAAAAGAAACCAAGGAGAATTAAAATTCTGGTTTGCCACCGTGAGCCAGACTCTATTTTCTTTACTAATGTATAGTCTTAGTAAATTCAGAGGGGACTCTTGTGGCATATATCGCAGCACATTTACAGCATACTTAAGATGAGACTTTCCTCCAAGACTCCTGAAATACTCCTGCACAATGCTCTCTGGTAAGGACAGATGGCTGCATTCAGAGCTGCACTGAAATGAGAGAATTTCCACAAGCATAAAACTGAAATAGTATAATGGGAAATCAGAATCTCAGTGTACACCGTATTGGTAGCTCTATTCCTGAATCACTATGCTTTTTGGGGAGAGGGGCATTAGATCTTAATTTTGATGCACTGCTAAATGACTTCCTTTAATGCATTTTTAGCTAACAAACCACTCAGAAGTCGCATTTTTACCTGCTAAAGGTAATAGTTTCTACAGGAACTCATGGCATTTCCCCACTTCCTTTTCTACCTGTCAGCTTCTAAGAAGGAGCAAAGAATGACCCTATTCATTTTTTTAATCAAATGTATTTTATCTCTTTGCTGTTCTG